GAGTAGCTGGGACTACAGGCATCCGCCACAATGCCGGGCTATTTTTTTGTTGTTGCAGTTTGGCTGAGGCTGGGTTTGAACCCACCACCCTTGGTATATGGGGCCAGGGCCCTACTCACTGAGGCACAGGCGCTGTCCACCAAACACATTTTATATGGCAACCCAGTATACAGATACGCAAGATATATGTGAAAACTTTCTTTAACAATAGTTACCTTCGGTATATGCGGGACACTCGAATCTTTCTTTCATCGATAGTTTTTTTTTTTTTTTTAAACCACTGATTCCATCCTACTATACTGAATTCTCCACCCAAGAACTCGTAGTTTGAAAAATACCAATGTAGGGCAGGTGGCTCCCCCTGGACAGTTAGATCCAGATTGCAGTTTAATCTGTGAAGTGACTTGAAGAGGGGAGGAATGTGGTCATAGCTTTCTGGGTGGTGCGGACATTTTCACAGGATGAAAACCATGCTTTCCTGAGGGCCGGAAGAATTGCAGAGCTGGGTTGCTCCTGGTGAGCAGGAGGAGGGGCAGGTGGGGCGAGCCTTCTGCTTAATAGACATCTGCCTCCTCAACTCAATTTCCTTTCTTGTTTTATGGCAGGCACTGTGCTGGGCTTAATTTCTTCTGCTGACCTTCTTTTGGGCAGAGAAACAAATCTCTCATAGCATTCCCCAGGGTGGGAAAGACCCAGAGAGACTGTGTTCCTAGCCCACCCATCTGACCTCAAATAACATTAAGTGTTCTGATCTTGAGCCCCAACTTTGGCCTCGGTTTGTGCTGAGCTTTCGAGTGTGTCAAATCACTGTATCCTTACAAGGAATTTAGAAAGGATTATGATATACCCATTTTACAAGTGAGTAAACGGGCTGAGGATTAGGACGGACAGGACCGGAATCTAGCTCTGGTGCAGAGCCAGCTCTTCATCACAAACGTAAGGGTGAGGTGGCATCTTCATGGTTCTCATTTTCTGGGTGTGGGTAACCCCGCCCCCCTTGGCCTCTACATCCTTTGGGTCTCGCTGAGGTAGATGGCGGGGGGCAGCTGGGAGGTCTGCATCAGCCAGTTCCTGGAGTATCGTTAAAATGAGATTCTTTTTCTCCATTTGCTTCAACTTTCATGGCTGTCTCACGCACTCCCCTGCCTTCTCCCGGCCCGACTCTGAACATCGCTACCCACCCGAGGGAACCCCGGAGCCTTGCCAGCTCTACAAGATGGGAATTTCGTGACGCTCCCTGCCTGACTTCGGGGAGGGCGGGGTGAGTGTCGTAAGGGGCCATCACGCAAGTGCAGACCTCGGCCTTCGCTGCAAACAGAGAGTCTCATCTGGGCCCGAGCACTCTTGCAGGAGGCGCGCCGGGCCAAATTCCCGGTCTTTAACCGCCTCGCCGCCCAGTTCCGAGACTATCATTCCCTCTCCGCCGCCCCGCCCGCTCGGGGGTGGGTGGGTGCTTCTCTTCTCTCCCCGCGACACTTTGCAGACGCTCCCCGGCGCCTGGCATGGGCGCCGCCGCCGCCTTCGGTCCCCGGCCGGATTCCGAGCGCGGGTGGGTGAGCGTGGGGGTCTCCAGCCCCTGGGACCCGAGGCATTCGCGGGCGATGGGTGGTATCCGGGTTACACCCCTGGCTTGGTGCGTGCCCCCGCTGGGAGCTCTTTCCACGACTGCCCCCCCCCACCCGCGGGACAAAGGGCGGGGGCGGGGGGCGCATCCCCACGCGTGACCTTCTCTCGTACTGCACACGCACCAGCCCCCCCACTATGAGGGGGGAAGTCTTGCTAGTCCACGCGAGTGCGGGGGTGGGGTGTGGGGCTCCCGGGGGTGGGGGAAGCACCGCGCGTGGGCTGGACCTCCACGCTGTGGTTGGAAGTTGGGGCACAGTTCCCCCCTGCGCTCATCTATTCTTTTGGCTCAGAGGTGACAGGTGATGGGGGTCGTTCCCACACCTGCGAGGGTGTCCCTGTTCTGTCCATCCCATGGGAAACCAGCAATGTAGGGCTCCAGCTGCCGTCTCCTTTAATACCCCAAAGCCCAGGGTCCTAGGCCCTTCCTTCCAGGAGTTTGAAACCTTACCTGAATCCTGGAGTCCCAGCTCACAGGTCCTTCCTTTCTTACTTCTGAGGGGCAAGGGCCCTGGGCCCCAGCTCTCCCAGGATGGACCCCAAGTCCATCCACGTCCCTCCATTTGTGACTGCTGTTTCTGCCCAGTGTCCCTGAGGCGCTCAGCTACCGGAGCCGCAGGAGGCAGAGCCATGAATGACCGAAACAGTCGGAGGCGGATGAGTGAGGAAGCTGGGTCCCCTTCCCTACCCTATCCTTATCCCAATGTACCCGCCCCTGCCCCTCCCCTCCTACCCTGGACTGTTGTGGTTGGGAGCGGCTTCAGCCGAGGATTTCTCTGTGGTTATCCTGGGGTCTCTCCTTTCCAGTGAAGAAGGACGATGAGGCCTTCGAGATCTCCATCCCCTTTGATGAGGCACCCCACCTGGACTCTCAGATCTTCTACAGTCTGAGCCCCTCCAGAGGGAATTTCGAGGGTGAGCTGAAGGGGGAATGGAGGGACTGGAACCGCCGGGGTGTGCCCCCACACCTAGGACGTGACCTGCTTCTCCTGCTACTCCCTGCTTTTCCCCAGAGCCTCCAGAGGCTGCGTCCCCTACCCTAGCCCTAATGAACAGCGTCAAGGCCCAGCTGCACATGGCCCTGGAGAGGAACTCCTGGTTGCAGAAGCGCATAGAGGACCTGGAGGAAGAGAGGGACTTCCTGCGGTGTCAGCTGGACAAATTTATCTCTTCTGCCCGGATGGATGCAGGTGTGTGCTGATATAGGTTCCTACTCACACTAGTCCTGGACATCCTGGTGCCCAGCTCACCCACAGGCCTGGAGCCCCACTGCTTGGCTGGCTCAATGGGGACCTGGCATTTTAATCCTCTTCACTAATCCCCTACATGTTTTGGGGATCCCAAGCCCAGCTTTCTTCTTGCTTGATGTCAGAGTCTCTCATCCCCATGTACTGTCCATTCCCTCCCTTCCCTGTTGGTTTCCCCAAATCTCATCAGCCAAAAGCACCCTGATGTCCATTTCCCAGCCAATGGTGCACTCAGGGACTTTGGGTCTTCAGCTCCAGGTTCTTTTTCCAAAGCTCCTCCAGGCAGCCTCATTCATCTCCACCCTAGTCATTTAGGGTTCTTCAGGAGCCTGCTCCTCACCTCAGCCTTGTCTTTTAGAAGGCTTAAAGTCCAAGCATTCAGCCTTGTCCCCCTGCTCTGTTTGACACATTTTCCCACCCACCCGTTTCCATTCCTTGGCTAATGAACACTCCTTCCCCAGAAAGATGTTAGGTCCCTCACCACTGGATTCAGCCCCTCCCCTGGTGGGACCTCTTTGGGTGGGGATCTCAGCCTGTTTGTTCCCACACACTGCCTCAGGGTTCTGGGCAGCTCCACCTGCTCCCTAGCACTGTGATAATTCCTGACCAGTAGCAGCCCAGAGCTCCCATGTGCATGCTGCCCTAAGGCCAAGGTTACAGTGTTTCCTTCTGATTGGTGGGATACTGTGCCCTGCTTGCTAATATATTTTGAGCACTACCCTCAACCCCTTCCTTAGGTGGTCAGGGCTTTCTTTTGCCAAATCTTTGGGCCATGTCTTGGAGACTGTCCCTCCAATAGCCCTTTCAAGTCCTTGGGTAGGAAGTCCCCTCAAATGTTTGTGGTCTTTTGTTGTTTAAGTTACTAGGACTAGGCTGTTCCTCTGCGGTGGAACCTAGGTCAACACCACCTACCACTGTCCCCTCCCTCTAATGGTTCCATCCTGGGAATTCACCTCCTTCCCTCAATGGTTGGGCTCAGGATTTTCTCAGTGGGGACCCCACCACCAGACCTGTCCCCCTAACTCACCTTCTGAAGGGCCCTGTATTTGATCCTTAGCCAACTCCCTCTGGGCAGAAGTGGTCACCTTTCCCAGATCACCAGGCCCACAGCCCCCACTATCTCAAGGTCTGCCACGCCCAGCCCTGGCCTCTTGTGTCTCCAGACTTTCTGGAGGTCCCATTGGGTCCCCAGAAAACCCCTTCTCTGCTATATAGGCACAGACCCTCCTGAGATCTCTAGATCAACTGGTCAACTCAGCCCTCTTCCCCAGAGCAACCTAGACCTCTGGGAAAATCTTGCCTCTTAGAGTCTCCCCCAAACTCCAGCTGGTTGTACCCTAATCAGCCATCACCAGTGTCTACGCTGCACTCTCTGTGTCCATGTCTCCGTGGGGGCCCAACCTTGGTGGCCCTAGACACCCAGAATCTGTGATGTGACAGCTGGTCCCCAGTTCATGGGTGTCTCTGTCTCCCCAGACGACCACTGCCGGGTGAAGCCTGGGCCTCGGCGAGCAGAGGGGGATAGCAGGGCCGGGGCTGCAGGCGAGGCCTCGGAGCCCGAGTCCGCGGCCTCCTCCTTCAGCGCGGCGTCGGAAGAGGGCAGCGCCGGTGAGAGGCGGAGACAGAGGCAGAAAGGAGGCGCCAGCCGGCGGCGTTTGGGGAAGCCTAAGGCCCGGGAGCGGCAGCGGGGTGAGGCGCTGGGCGTCCTGGAAGGGGCCTCCCTCTCCAAGTCCCCGTCTCCCGTTGTAAAAAGCCCAGATCTGGCTGAGCTCTGCCAGGCTACAGGCGTGGCACTGGGCTCGCTGTCTTACTCTTGGGGCCACCTTCACCAATAGGGGTTCCTGAGAAATTCCCTAAACTTCTACAGCCTGTTTCCTCATCGGTAAAAGAGGACGCTGGAAACTACCTAGCAGGGTGGAGTGGTGCACAGGCATGTGGTAGTCTGGGAACTCCTACTTTAACCCATCTCTTTTCCCTCATCCTCCTGGCCTATCTCCGGCTATTTCCCACTGGCCCAATTGCACCTCAACCTGTCCTTGTTCCCTCATCCCGCACCTCTGGCCCTGCAGTGAAGGACGCAGACGGGGTCCTCTGCCGCTACAAGAAGATCCTGGGCACCTTCCAGAAGCTGAAGAGCATGTCACGCGCCTTTGAGCACCACCGCGTGGACCGCAACACCGTGGCGCTGACAACGCCTATCGCTGAGCTGCTTATCGTGGCGCCTGAGAAGCTGGCCGAGGTGGGCGAGTTTGACCCCTCCAAAGAGCGCCTGCTCGAGTACTCACGCCGCTGCTTCCTGGCCCTGGACGACGAGACGCTGCAGAAGGTGCAGGCCCTCAAGAAGAGCAAACTGCTGCTCCCCATCACCTACCGCTTCAAGCGGTGATCCTGCCCGGCGGCCCGTCAGCCCTGTGCTTCTCCCCTCCCGCACCGCCCCCTTTCGCCCCAGGTCCCCTGGTACAGACCGAGCATCCTTCGCTCCCTGGGCTGGAGGGGTCTCATCGGACCAGGCTCCTAGGAGCTGCTGCCCACAGGCCAGCCCTGCCAACACTGGGCCCATTTGCTGCTGGGACCCCCCCCAGGAGGGCCGGGCGTCCCTTTCCCCGGGGAGGGGAGGTAGGGAGTGTCTGTCTTTGCCCCGTCTCCATCTCTAGCCCCAGGACAGGCTGCCCACCCTGTTTCCCTGCCAGGAGCCGCCCACTCAGTTCTGGACTGATCATTCCATGTGAGACAGAGAATTATTCAGAGAATTTAAATTAAAAGAGACGTGAAAATTTGGAATAAACTGGGCCTCAGCCTCTTCCTTAGGAGGGTGACTGCCTGGGAGGGGGCGGCTGTCGCCACGGAGTCGGTGATGGGGCTGGCGAGTTGGCTCCTGGGAACGGGCAGTCAGGCGGAAAACGGGGAGGTTGGGGAGGACAGCGTGTAATTAACACCCTGGAGGCAGAGGTGGGAAGGGTTGAACCAGCTAAGCCCCCAGAAACTCGGAGCGGGTGGAGCTCTGAAACGGAAGTGTGTACACTCTGGGTTGGCCTGTCCAGATTACTGGCGGGGAGGCCGGAAGCGAGACTCAATGACCTCTAGCCGCGGAGGCCACTAAGGGGACCAGGGGCTGTATGAGCGGATTGCTCCGCCGGGTCGCCAGAGGGCGGAAACGAGACGACATTAACGTTTCCCGGAAGTAGGATTTCCAACCACGTCTTGCGCCTGCGCGGCGGAAGGTACGAGAGCACCGGCTCACGGTTGCCAAGGCAACCAAGAGAGGCCAGCCTAGCTCAACGGTCTAGAACACAGACAGCACCTTCACACCAGGAAAGGAAAATCTCGCGCACGCGCACCGGAGACTCTGGAACCCGTCCGCGAGCAGACTTTTACGCAGGCGCAGAATTTCGTCCCCCCCCTCACATCCACTCCCACCCGGCGCAGGCGCACAAAGCCGCACAGACAACCTCCGCAGCAGCTGCGCGCACCCTTATCCTCGCTGGCTGCTTGTCTCGCCCAACCTCCTCAGGTCTTCCGCCAGACTTAAGCTTTTCTTTTTTTCCATTCTCCTCACCGGTAGAGCCAGGTGCCGAGAACCAGGACCCCGCCCCCTTTTCTGTATCCCTAACCCTGACCCACCTCGCCTCCATCCTCCCTCCCTTTTCTGTTCACGAAGCCGGAAGAAGCCGAAACGGCGACGGAAAGAGCCGAAGCTGCGCCCAGTGAGCGAGGCCTTCCCAAAGAGGTGGCGGAAGGAACCGAAGTTCTCCGACGGGAGGAGTGACCGAGTAGAATCTCCGGAAAAAGCCGAACCTTGGAATCGGGCTTAATATCTGGAGGGGCTCGAGGGCCAGTGCCGGAAACCTTCAAGGGCCGAATTCCGGGACGGTTGGAAGTGGCGAATTGTTTGGACTGAGCCGGTGGAGAAGGCGGGGCGACACTGCGGACGAAGCCAAAGACTGGGAAGGTTTCAATTGTTGGAAAACGCCGAACCTTTAGCGGGGCCTGGGCGCAGTCGGACGCGAGGACCCGCAGAAACTTCCGAACGCTGAGGCGCTTAACTCCCGAAAAGTTACGGAGACCTAGGAAGTCGGCTAAACCCTTGCTTCGGGTGTTTTCGGAAACAGCTGAAGCAGCCGCCTGCCGACCACTACGACCGCTGTCCGGAAATAGCCGACGCGCTTCGGAGTCAGGCTCGGGGGCGGGGGCGGGGTAGCTCGCGGGGAGGTGGAAGGGGAGAGGGGGCGGAGCCGGGGCGGGGCTGGGCGGGCTGCCGGGGGCTTGACTAGGTAGGAGGCGGTGAAGCGCCGGCGGCGGCCGGAAGTAGCCGAAGTCAGCGGCGGAAGTAGCCGAAGCGGCCAGAGCGGGCGGGCGGCAAGGCGAGGCGAGAGCTGCACAAGGCCCTACGCGGCCGCCTCAGCATGTCGGACTTCGACGAGTTCGAGCGGCAGCTTAACGAAAATAAACAAGGTGAGGGCGCAGGGTCGCGAGGCGGCGGTGCAGGCGGGTCTTCACGTCGCTCTTTGCCCCCCGCCATTTTCCCCCTCGTTTCCCCCCCTTATCAGTACCGCGCGACCCCCCCCACCCGGTTCCGCGGCGCGCGCCAAGCTCACGTGACCTGGCGTTCCGTCGCTCGCCTGGTGAGTGTTAAGGGGGCGGCATTGCGCGGGTCCGCGGCGCATGCGCGCATCCGTGCGCCCACGTGGTCCCTGCAGAGGTGGCGCTGGGGCACCCGGCGCGAGCGCGCCAACTCTCTTGACGTGGACTTCTTTTTCTTTTCTCTACGGTGCTGAGGAGATTATAATAGGTCCTGTAATCTCTTTTTACTCCGCTGCTTGGCACTTCCGCTTCCGGTCGGGTGGCCGGACCCGGGTCTCCACGCCCCCTTTGTTTCCAAAATGGTGGGGGCGAGGCCGGGCCACTTTTCTTCACGTGGACCGGCAGGGCCTACGTGGGGCCGGGGCCCTCGCACTTGTTTTCCTTTCCGCGGATTTCTTAGGAACTCGCGGCTAGAGAGCTTATGCCACAGCCAGTAGTCGCTGGGCGCCACAGATCGGCATGTTGATGTTTGTACATGCGTAAAAAGACAAGCAGTATCTGCGCGCTGCATCCCACGCGCGTGCACGGGGCTTCTGGCTGGCGGGACAGCCACGCTATGGGTGCATTTTCTCTCTCATCATTCTAACTTGACACACCCAACGTCCTGTTTGGACCTATACTCAGTAGTCTTCGCAGCGTACAGATAAAGGGACTGAGACTCTACTCGAGGAAAAGGGATCTGGCTCAGTTGAGTCCTTTTGGGGCGGGTGGGGGCAGATACTCCTCAGGTGGTGTCGAGGATTGCGGTGCCTCAGAACAAAGCCCCAGGCCGTGCTGATGGGTTAGGGACTCCGGGAGAGTCGTTAGACGTTTTAAAATTACTTCTTGTCTCCGTTTTTGGGTTTGAGAGCGAAGATAGTAGTAGAGACGGTTGGAGGCCTGAGTCTTAAGACGTAAGCTTTAGCTGGAGTTGGAGGACGGAACGAGGACCCAGGAATTCTTCCAACTCAGGCTGCGGTTGTGTAGTGCAGAGGCTGATGGAATTGAGAAACAGTTCCTGGGGAAGAAGTTACATCTATTGAGTGTCCAACGTATGCCTGACTCTGTCTTAGGTGGCTTTCCTACTTCCTGAGCGCATGGATTTTGGAGTTAAGCATATCTGGGTTCAAAGACATGGTTTGTCACCTAGTAGTTGTGCTATGGCAATGCTTTTATAGCTTTTTTTTTTTTTTCATCCTTCTTTTCCCATTGGGTTTTTAAGGGGTTTAGAGAGTAATAATAATAGTTGTGAAACTGCGCTTACCATGTGTCAGAGGGGCACACTGGTCCTTGTGTGGTTTTTTTTCTTTTCTATTTTTGGAGATGGGGTTTTGCTATGTGGCCAGGCTGTCTGGAACACTTGGCTCAAGGGATTCTTCCCACTTCAGCTTCCAGAGTAGATAGCTTCGACTTGAGCATTATTTTTCTAAGTGGATCCTTGTAATACCCTTTTGAGGTCAAAGTAGTTGGTTTCTGTCCTTTTATCAGGGAGGAATCTGAAGGTTCAGAAAATTTAAACACTTTTCCACGTTTCAGCTGGTCAAAGGCAGAGTACTAAGTGGCTAATAAGTGATATTTGCTATTGTGAAATTCCAAGCTTGGAAAGGCAAGTAATTGGCACAGAGATGATGTTGGAGTTCGAGAAGGGCAGGAAAGATGCTTTTCAAATGTTATTCTGGCAGGTCCTCTCAACATGTGGGTACAGGAGATACGGTGACCCTGTTTGCAGAAAAGAAAATCAAGTCTTAAAGGTTAAGTTACTTTTGCACAGTTTTATGCAGCTGGTAAGCAGAAACACTGATACTGATTCTGAGTTCTTGCTGGCTACGCTGACAAGTTCAGTTATGCTGGGCCGCCAGGTGGAGCTGATAGAGCTGTTCTGTGAGGTTCCTTCAGATTTGTTCTGGTTCTTTCAGGTTCTCCTCTGCTATTGGGAGGCCAGGGCCTGAGACCTAGCAGGGCCCTTTGCTTGGCGGAGCTGCTTCTGCAAGGTTAGCACAGCAAAGCAAACTTCCTCTCTGTTCTGATCTTTCCAGCATCAGTGTGTAGCACAGGGTGCTTGCCATAGGGGAAGCTCTGTCCCTATGCCACCCTGCCTATGGGTCTTTACCTCTGCAGGCCAGCCGCTCTCCCAACTCTTGGCTTCAGTCCCTTCCTCAGCTACCTTTGTCTACAGGGATGTCTTTTGAGGGCATCCAGCTGGCATCACTGCTTCCTCTCTGTGGGTCCCTCCCTCCTTGTCTGTTTCAGAGCCTTGGAAGCAGGAAAGGCTTTTGGGACTCACAGTCTGCTCCTCTTAAGGGAGTAGAGCTGGAGCTCCGCCTACTGCTGGGCCATGTGCTTACCCTGCGCTCTGCTGAGCCGGCCTGCAGACTCTTTCCCCCATCCCAATCTTTGAAATTCTCTAATTTTTATTTTTGGTCTTCTAGGAATTAATTCCATTGTCATTTAGTGGTACCATTCAGACTCTGGAGTGTTCTGCCTGACCTACGTTCAGTAGTGTGGCCTGGGACTTAACTCACTGACATAGTGTTTATGCTCTGGCTTCACTGTTCTTAGCTGTATGGCCTTGGGAAAGTCATGATTTCTTTGTGCAGGGAGGGGTCCTCAAACTTTTTAAATAGTAGGCCAGTTCACTGTCCCTCAGACCGTTGGAGGGCCGGACTACGGGCCCCAGGACGAGTTGGCTGCTAAGCAGGACAGGCAGCAGCGGCAAAAACACCTGGCAGGCCGGATAAATGTCCTAGGCGGGCGCAGTTTGAGGATGCCTGTCTTTGTGCTTTCTTATATCTTTCAGTTTTCTTATCTATTATGTGAGCTCCCAACAGTGTTTTTCCAAAGCAGAAGTGAGGATTAAATATGAGTAAAACTATTTAGCACAGACTTCAGGTGTATCTCGATATTTGTTACTAAGTTGTTTTCTCTTCTTGGTTTGTGTTTTCGTGAGTCTTAGTGGTTATGGAATTGAGATGCATTTATAAAATTTCATGTTGCATCAGAAAAATATTTGAGATGAAATATTAGGGGTGAGGTTAAAGTCTGCTTTGACTTTTAACTCCCTTCTCACTACCTTTTATTCTTGTCCCTAGGGATCAGCACTCTTAGGTATAGGTTAAACTATTTGAGCTTATGAATGTGTTATCTTTTTGTGTACATGTGCGCCTGAGAGGTGAGAAATCAGAGTGTCTTTGAATTAGAGAAATACATGAGATAGTGTTTATGAGCATCCCCATTTCTTATGGTTTGGTCTCCCTCTCCAGGGGCCCATCTCACTTCTTCAGGGAGTGAAGGGTCTGGTGGGGGTAGAGATTTCTGTGGTTTTGCCAGCAGGACTCCCTTCCTTGCGACTGCCTTGGAGGCAGGTTATAGGGGTTGAGGGAACAAATCCCCACTCTGTGACCCCTCCTGTACTTGGCTTTGAGGGAGTAAGTGCGGCAGGAAGGATTAAATGGTTTAGGATTCAAGTCTGTGTTGGGATTTATGTTTGGGTGGGGCATCGTCCCCTTTAGTCTGCAAATTCAGAAATTGGCCCCTCCCCAGGGGAGGGCGCTCTTGTATTCACCTGGTTGGGAAGGGACGGGTTGAGTTTCCCAGCTTCCTGGGGAGATCAGATCCTTCCTGACTCCTGGGCCTGATGGTGGGGCTGGGGGTGCCAGCTGGTTGCAGAGGTCTTTCCTGAGGGGTTGCTGGGTCCCTTCAGGAAAACATCATTGGGTCTCTTGATTCCCCAGCATCTAGCCCTGCCCCTCTCAGGGACGACCCTGGGGTCAGGCCCCTCAGCCCTCGAGGGGGACCTGGAGCCAGCCTCCTCTGTCTTCTCTGGCTCCCCAGCTCCTCCTGAGCATCCTCAGGTATCTTACACCCCGGGGGCATTTGCAGGCCCCATCTCCCTGGTCCCCTGAGTCCCTGGACTCGCTTATGGACCCAGGAGGCCTGTTACATCCCTTCCTCTATCATATCCCTTCCCTTGGGGGTGGCCTCCCTGGGGCTCGGGACTTAGCCACCAGCGTGCAGGGTGGGCTGGGCCCACATCCTCCCTTTGCTTATCCCCCTCTTCTCTCATCATTACCCAGAGCGGGACAAGGAGAACCGGCACAGGAAGCGCAGCCACAGCCGCTCTCGAAGCCGGGACCGTAAGCGTCGGAGCCGGAGCCGGGACCGGCGCAACCGGGACCAGCGGAGCGCCTCCCGGGACAGGCGTCGACGAAGGTACCAGAGTTTGGGGTATCAATGGCCCATGACTGTGCTCAGTGGTGGCCTGTGTAGCTCATCTATCTTTCTTTGTGTATGTCTGGGGTGGGGATCTGCTGCCTGGTCTTGAGTTCAGTCTTTTCTCATTTTTGGGATTTTTTTCATTTTCTCTGTTGGTGATGCAGGTGGGTTGCTGGGGGCGATAGGTTTTTCTGTCTGGAGACTGGGAATTGATTCTGTCTTTTCCTTCATAAGGGGCTGTTCTCTGTCCCTGACTCTGAGGTCCCGTTTCTTCTTTTCAACTCTGGTTCTCTGTGGGACTGTCTTCAAGGGGGTTGGTCTTTGTTTTCAGTTTCTTTGTCCACGACTCCTAGGAGAAGGGAGTTGGAGTGGGGCTTGGGCTTACTTTCTAGCTCAGGAGTGTCTTGTTTTCTGCTTTTCTAATGCCTCCTCCCTGCCTGGGGTCCCCTCTCTGTTCTCTGTCCCATTAGTCGAGGAAGGGAGGGATAGGTGGAAGTCCTGCCTTTCCGTCTCTGTCTTTCTAGCTAGATTGGTCTGTCCTGATCCCTTCCTGCTTTCTTCACTTCCTCTTTCCTGGGGTGGGAGTGTATGGGGAGGGAATGGCAGGGCTGAGGGGGCCTGCTCCCTGCTTGTTCACCTTGGCCCTGCCCTGGCCCTTGGGCTCTGTGCCCTTGGGGGGGGTGTGGTATGTGGGGAAGTCGAGGGTCCCCAGTCACCCCTCCCCATACCTTTCCCTCCCACCCCCCAGCAAACCTTTGACCAGAGGCGCTAAAGAGGAGCACGGTGGATTGATGTGAGCTTCTCTTCCTGCCCCTTCCACCCTGACGTCCATTCCCTTCACCTTCCTCACACCCTGTGTACCCTGCCCTACCTATGTCCAGACCTGGCCCGAGCACTGGGAAATATTCCTACCTTGAAACCAGGAACCTCCCCAAGCCTGGGCCCAGTCCTCTCCCTTATCTTCTCCCTCCTGGAGGCAGTGGAACTTATGTGGTGGTGGGCTGAGTGGATGCCTGGAGGGGGGGTCCACAGGCCCCCTGTTGGTCAGACTGAGGTCGTCCTGCCCCGCTCTCCCCCCCGCCTCCCCCAGTCGTTCCCCCCGCCATGAGAAGAAGAAGAAGGTCCGTAAATATTGGGACGTGCCACCCCCTGGTTTTGAGCACATCACTCCAATGCAGTACAAGGCCATGCAAGGTAGGCCCCAGCTGGGCTCCTTTGGAAGTGAGGGCAGGTGCAGAGTCATGCCTGATTCTCTTGTGTTGTCATTCTGCCATGTGTGCACGCTTGGGAAGGTCACACTCTGAGGGGAGTCTCTGGCTTCTGTCCTTTTGAAACTCCGTGGAGATTTGATCTGAGACACCTGTGGGTTGAGGGTGGGATGAGGCCTCCACCTGGACACTGTTAGGAGACATGGTTTCTTAGCAGCAGCAGATATTCGGCAGGGGCCTCTGATGCTGGGAAGAAGGTTTTGGAGGGCACTGCAGAGATTCTGAGAAGCTTTCAGCTGTGAAGGGAGAGTTTTCAGGGTGTGTGGTGGGTGGTCTTTGGGCTCTAGTCTCATTATTTGTCCTGATGTGGTTTAATCCTGTTTTCACTCATTTTGAAGCTGCGGGTCAGATTCCAGCCACTGCCCTTCTCCCCACCATGACCCCTGATGGTCTGGCTGTGACCCCAACACCAGTGCCTGTGGTCGGGAGCCAGATGACCAGACAGGCCCGTCGCCTCTACGTGGGCAATATCCCCTTTGGCATCACTGAGGTACTGCCCTACCCCTATCCCTCCCCCTCCCTTGCTCCCTCATCCCATTCCTCCCCTCCCCTCCATTCCCTCCCAGAACCTGCACGGGTCAGACTTTGCTCCTGCAAGACCCCCCCCACCCCCGGCCCCCTCCCAGATGGACCGATGGAGTTGAGCCAGCCAGGGGCCGGGCTGGGGGTGGCCCTCTCCCTCCCTCCTCTTCCCTCTCCCATCTCCCCTCCCCCAATCTCCTCCAGCAACCCAGGGATCAAGCACACACATAACGTACCCACGTGTTGGAGAGAGACAGAGAGGGAGACTTGGACACACACATGCACACGCACATGCACATGTTTACGCACGCTCCCTCCCTCAGTTTTTCCTGACACGCCTCTCATTCTCTGCCGCCTGTCCCCATCCTCTCCCCGACATACCTCCCATGGTCGCTGTTCTTTTATTTTGATTGCCCTGACCTCCCCTTTCCCCACCGCTCCTTTCCCCCACCCCTCTCCCCCACCCCTTCCCGTGGCACCCCCTGAGAATCCCGAGATCAAAGAGTTGTTTCCATTTCTCTTTAAAGTGAAATATTGTGGGGCTGAGATCCCTCGTAGCAACAAAAAGTTTGCTACCATCGTCGAAGGCAAGTAAGGTCCATTCTGACTTTCTCAACCTGCACTTTGCTACATTTGATAAACCAGCCCCCGGACTCCAGGGCCAGATTCCTCCACATCACTCTTTTCTCCTCCCCTCCCATCCCTGCCCCTTCCTCCCCACACTCCCTCCTCTCCCATCCCTGCACTCTTGACTTCCAACCTCCCTCTGCCCTCTCTGCTCCTGCCTGCTGCTCCTTTTCTGCTGCCCCCCATTTCTCTATTTGTGTCCACTGGGTGTTCCTTCCTGTTTGTTCTGTCTCATTTTCTGTGTTTTATGTTTTTTCTTTTCCTGTTGTCATCATTTTTGTCTGTATTTTCTTAAATAATCTCTCCCCTGATTTTTATTTTTTGGGGACCCTGTGGCTCTCCCTCTACCCTATCTATCTCCTGCCCTTGGTCATCTCTTGCTACTGTTTCCTTTCCATTTTCTCTCATTTTCCTTTTGCTTTTGTTCATACTATTGATCTCTACACCCCCACCCATATTCCACTGTTCCTTCCCCTCCTCCTCCCATCCCCCTTGTCCCTCTACCCTTACCCCAAACCCCTCTGTGTCTCCCTCTCTCACCCTCCCCCTCCTCTCTCCACCTCCCTACCCCTGCCCCTCCCTGTCTCCTCTTCCCTCTGCAGGAGGCCATGATGGATTTCTTCAATGCCCAGATGCGCCTGGGGGGGCTGACCCAAGCCCCTGGCAATCCTGTCTTGGCGGTGCAGATTAATCAAGACAAGAATTTTGCCTTTTTGGAGGTGAGTTGGGAGGGTGATAGGGGTCAGGGAAGTATATGTCTTGTGAAAACCCACCCTTTGGCCCTGCCATGTGCCCTTCCTGTGCTGCTCATTCCCACTGGGCTCCTATGCAATCCATCTTTGTCTGCTGCCAGAGTGAGCTCTGGTAGCTCTGCAGATCTGGTGCTACCTCACCCTGTCTTTTGTTCTCCCCAGGGTCTTGGGAGGCCTTTTGGGCCTCTGCAAACCTTAGTTTTGTTGAGACTGTTAAGGTGTCCAGCTTTAGTACTCTTACCGTACTGGACTTCCCAGAACCCACCGTATCTATCTTGGGACTTGGCTAGGATTATTTACTATGCTAACTACTGCTGCTAAATAATTTTTTCTGTCAGTGTTTCTCAAACTGGGAGAGGAGGCATGTTTGCATTTTATGTTTTATTTTTTGAGATGAGGTCCTGCTCCATTTCCCAGGCTGGAGGGTAGTAGCGAATCACAACTCTTTGCAGCTTCAAACTTGGGCTTAGGCAGTCCTCCTGCTTCAGCCTCTCCAGTAGCTGAGATTACAGGTGACCGCCCACAATGCTTAGCTTACGTTCTTTAAAAAAATTTTTGCGGAAATAATGGGACTTTTGCTATGTTATCCAGGTTGTTCTCTAACTCCTAGCCTCAACTGATCCTCTAGTCTTAGTTTCCCACAGTGCTGAGGACGTTGGTTTTTAATTTTCAATTCTTAGTGGACAAACTCGTAAAATACAACAAAGATGATGAAGTGAAATTATTAGCTTGTGGTAAAGGTTTCTAAGAGTCTCTCTCCTGTTGTCTTGTTGCATCTGCTTTGACTCACATTGCTGTGGATGGCAGCTTTAATGTCACTTTATCAGAAAGACTTCAATACTGTCACCTTTTCAATGAATTTCCCTGTGACATGCCCTCTGACATTCCCCCTCAATACTGTGTTTCTTTTTAGCATTGTCACAGCTTACAGTTTATATGTTTCACTTGAGTTGGTGTTGGATGCTGGTGTCTATAATCAAGAGTGTGAACTCCTAGAAGCAAGGACAAATCTGCTGTTCTTCCAGTGCCCAGCACAGGGCCTGCCTGGCACAATGTATTTGCTCACATGAGCGAAAGAAAAGAGGAAATCCTGGTCACAATCAAAGAGGATCATACCAGTTCCTGACCCTCAGCCCTCACAAATGCTTTTCTTTTGTTCAGTTTCGCTCAGTGGACGAGACTACCCAGGCCATGGCCTTTGATGGCATCATCTTCCAAGGCCAGTCACTGAAGATCCGCAGGCCTCATGATTACCAGCCGCTGCCTGGCATGTCAGAGAACCCCTCTGTCTATGTGCCTGGTGAGTGGGCTGGTGAGTGGGCTTTGTCAAGGTCCCTTCTACCCCAGCCTTGTTTTCCACAGTCTACCCTTCCCTTCTTGAGCCCTGCTGGTGCTCCTTAGGAGTGGAGTCTCCACCTTGCCTCTAGTGCTTTTCCACCAGGAGTTTTGGTAAATTCAAAGTATCTTTTTAACTTACTAGAAACCTGAGGTGTGGTTGCTAACTAGCGTGTTCTCATGTGCTCCTTGGTGACTCCGTGTACGCACATGCATGCGTTCCTGATGAAGCTGGAGAGCATCTTCTGTGCCTTTCACAGTAGACTCAAGTGTGTTTTAATTTATCTGTGATTAGCTGGGTAACTGCCCTTCTTGGTGCTTATTGTTTGTCAGGCAATATCTTATATGTGCTCTGTGGATGTTCTTTATGGTAGTTTAAAAGTTAGGGCAGGAGCCAAACCTGCCCACCAACCCTTCTCACTCAGGCTTGTCTATATCACCTTGTCCCTGCTGCACCTGGGGACATGCAGCAGCTGGGGTGGGGGGAGTGTACATGGGTCCAAGTTAAGTTTTTGGACTTAACATTACTTCTGTTACGAGGCCTGGGGCTCAAATGTCTTGAGGACAGTGGGGTGCTTTGGCAGGAACAGAGCCGAAGGTGATGGCAGCCACAAGCTCCTCTGGGGGTCCACTGAGGCATTTCTTTATCTTACAAATGAGGAAAGAGCTTTGCAGTTAAGAGGAGGAGATCCTGCTGTGTCAGGCTTGAGTCCATCTCTGCCTCATGCTGTCTCTACCCCCACACTCTCTCTTCCCCATGCTGTCTATGCCCCATGTGGGTCCTTCAGCAGTGCGGCCCCTACAGAGTCACGTTGCCTCATTCCTACCTGATGTTTGGCACATCCCTGCTGAGTGGGACTTACTGTCATTGATTAGAGGGGTAGTCTGAGCCTCTGGGAGGGGTTCCTTGAAGTTGTCACCATATAACTGTGGGTCCTGTCAATGACTTAGTTCTTACCAGGACTTGTCTGGGCAGCAAGTTCAGCACCCCAGCTGTGGAGACTTGTATGCCCATTTCATATTAAGTATACACTTGGTGTGAATTGTACTCATGCACACGCCTTGCAGCAGTGTTCTCTCCCTGTCCTACTGATGCAGACACTTGGGGCCCTTGGAGCCTCATAGGGTGCAACTGCACCTTGAACCATGAGCCCCCACTCTCACTGAGACATGAGCAGCGGTTAACAGTCCTTAGCCTGCTGAGCCATCTGTGGATAGTCATGGCTGAGCATGGGCTCTGAAGGGCCACCTTTTACCTGCCTTTGTGGTGTTGTTCAGTGCCTCAGTTTACACCTTTTGTACCTTGGTGAGCATTGTGTAGTAGGCTGAAGGAGCATGGCCTAGTGATAAGCGCTTGGTCCCTGTTCCTGCCCCAGGTTAATTGTGTGTGTCCTGGTAGCACACAAACTGGGTCTCCTGAGGTCTGCATGGCCCCACTCTGATGGGATTAACCTCTGATGGTTGAACTGGCTAGGTTGGTACCTACAGCTTTAGGGGGCTGGCAGGTCCAGGCTAGAGGATGGGAGAAGGTGTATGCAGGCAGATGTGAGTACGGAGGGTGGAGGGGTGCTGCCTCCTTTTCCTTCCAGAGGCACAGCCACTCAGCTTCTGAGCCTCTTTTCCCCTTTATATCTCTTACCTGTTCTTTTAAGATAGAGGTAGGATGAGGCCATCCATGCCCATGGGGTACAAGGGCTGCAGAGGAAGGAATGGACTTAGGTCTAGGCTTTGAACTCTAGGCTTTGATCTTGGGTGTCTGCTGGATGGGCACTGGTGCTCTATGTAGCTCACACTTGACAGGAGGCTCTGCAAATGACCTGATAGATTTGTGAAGCCAGTGGGAGTTAGGTTGAACCATGAACCATCCCATTTGGCTGGCACTTGTGAGTTCTGATTTCATTGGTTTGGCGATGTTAAACTCAGCCAGTGTGATGTCCTTGTGGACATCAAATCCGGTGTCCCAGCCACAGCCAGCATCATTCCAGAGATGATACCAGCTGACAATGGGAATACTACTGAGATTCCCCAAGCAGCCTCTCTCAACTCATGCCACCCCGGTGAGGGCATACCTTCCCTGTAGGGAGCTTGGATGAACTGTGGGCAGTGAAGGGGAGGGACTGAGATTCAAGGGGAAGGCTGACCTGCGTGGTGGTTGGTGAAAGGCACCCTGAGGGGTGAGAAAGCAGGTTCAGAGTCAAGGTGACTTGCCAGGGTCGCAGTAGCAGGTTGACAAGGGTATGAATGTAGGTCTTTTTCTCCCTGGTCTTCTGGGGGCCGCTTCTGTTTTGAAGTCCCTCTGAGGCTTAGCAGGCTTGGGATGTAACAGTGCCTCTCTTAGTGGGGTACCATGATGTGCCTTTGCCCGTGGTCTCCTTTTCAGACCTGTATAGGGAGGGAGGGTTTGTGGTGCATCCCCTCCTACTCCTTTGGGCAGGGAGTGGCCTGGTCCCCTGGTGAGGGGCTTACCCTGTAGATCATCTGCCAGGTTTGTAGGAGATGACCTTGTATTGGAATTGAAGTTCTTTTATCTCTCTCTGCCCTTAGGAGTTGTGTCCACTGTGGTCCCTGACTCTGCCCACAAGCTGTTCATCGGGGGCTTACCCAATTACCTGAATGATGACCAGGTAACACCTTTGCCTCCTTTCCAGCCCCCTCCCCAACCCTGGTGCCCACACATCCCTGATGTATTCTCTGCCTGGTGCAGGTGAAAGAACTGCTGACATCATTTGGGCCTCTCAAAGCCTTCAACCTGGTCAAGGACAGTGCCACGGGGCTCTCCAAGGGCTACGCCTTCTGTGAGTACGTGGACATCAACGTCACGGATCAGGTGAGTCCCAGCTCCCGGCCAGTTGTCACATCTACCCCTCCCTACCCTGTGCTATTTCCAAGCTGAGGTGTCCCCTCAGGGGATGGGGTGGAAGGCGGCCAGCCTGAAGCAGCATCCTACTTGCAGGGGTCTCCCTTTGCCCTTGGTTTCAGTTGTTTCCAGGCTCTTAATCCCTTTTGTCTTCCCCTCTTCCCCACCAATGCCCTGGCTTGGGGGGAGGTGTGGTGTCCTGGGCCTGACCCACCTCTCCCCCGCACTGCCCCCCCATCCTCCACACACAGGCCATCGCAGGGCTGAATGGGATGCAGCTGGGGGATAAGAAGCTGCTTGTCCAGAGGGCAAGTGTGGGAGCCAAGAATGCCACGCTGGTGAGCCCCCCGGCACGTCATCTTCCATTGGCTAGAGGGACCCTGGGGGTGGGAAGGGGCTGGTTGGGGACAGGTTCTCCTGAGCTCTGCCTTGGCTTTCATAGGGGTGAGGAGGGATTTGGGGAGGGTGTATAGTGCAGGGGAGTAGTACGCAGAGGTGCTCAGGTAACAGGCCGGCCTCTCCCTATGTGAGTGTCTCAGGGGCGCAGGCTTGAGCAGAGGGAGGCTGGGCCTGGACCCCCTGTGACGCCCCTGCCCCTGCCCCACAGAGCACCATCAATCAGACACCTGTGACCCTACAAGTGCCAGGCTTGATGAGCTCCCAGGTGCAGATGGGCGGCCACCCAACGGAGGTCCTGTGCCTCATGAACATGGTACTGCCCGAGGAGCTGTTAGATGACGAGGAGTATGAGGAGATTGTAGAGGACGTGCGGGATGAGTGCAGCAAGTACGGGCTCGTCAAGTCTATCGAGATACCCCGGCCTGTGGATGGCGTCGAGGTGCCCGGCTGTGGAAAGGTCAGGGTGCCCCAGGAACGGCACACGCTCCTCCCCTGCCTCTTCTCCGCTTTTGCCTCTCCTCCACTCTCCTTTCCTTTGAAGAAGGCACTTGCTTGTATACACCAAGTACCCCTCAGGCCTGTCTGGGCTATGTGGGTGACTCAGAGTGGTGTATGGCCTTATGGAGACCTGGCTTGAAGGTGAGGCAGAAACTAGGAGACACAGCTGCTGTGGCTTAGGAGCAACTTTGATTCAAAACTTGGCCCTGTCTCTTGTCATGTGACTTTGTGTAAGAGGTTTTGTGTTGTCCGTGTGTGGGGGATGTCCTAGAAATATGGCCACTCCCACTGGTGTCTCCTGTGTGTCACATGCTCTGCTGAAGCTGCCCTAAGTTCTGCCAGTACTTAGCCCCTTCATGGGAGGAGCCGAGGTACAGAGGTAATGGGGCACGTA